TATTCTTTCAACTTTTCTTTGGGTCTGACTTTTTCAAAGCAAAAAAAGTTAAGAAACAAAGAGATTCAAGAAGTGGAATGGATAGAACTTTATAACTAATAGGAAGTGGGAATGGAGGCAGAGTGCTGGGTCAGGAACGACACCTAGATTTCTGGCTTGTCACAGGGGTCCATCACTGAGATGGGGAACTCCGAAGGAAGAGCACACATACAGAGAATGATGAGCAACTAACTAAAATATGGAGCTGAAACCCGAGCTATTGTTTCTAGTCCTCAGAAGTTTTCAGGTGATTCTAAAACTTACAATCAAGATTACATACACAGGATTTCTGCTTTCACAATTGCCCGTTGACACTGTACTGGAAGTTCTAGTTAGAGCAATTAGGCAAGAAAAATAAATAAAAGGCATTCAAACTGGAAAGGAAGATGTAAAACTATCTCTAATCACAGATGATATGACGGCATATATAGAAAATCCCAGAGAATCCAAAGAAAGCTCTCAGAGCTAATAAATTCAGCAATGTATTAGAGAATAAGATGAACACAGTAAAATGAGTTGTGTTTCTATATACCAGCAACAAACAATTTGAAAAGGAAATTAAGAAAATAATCCAAAAGAATAAAATATCTAGGAATAAAATTTATCAAGGAGGTAAAAGACTTGCAGACTGAAAACCACAAACATTGCTGAAATAAATTTTAAAAGATCTAAATAAATGGAAAGACATTCTGTATTCATGAATTGGAAGACAATGTTTTAAAGGTGGCAATACTCCCCAAATTGATCTATAGATTAAAAGGAATCCCTATCAAAATTCTAAGATCATATTTTGCATAAATGGGCATAAAATTCATACGGAATCACAAAGGATCCCAAAGAGCTAAAACAATCTTGAAAAAGACGAACAAAGTCAAGGATTCACACTTCTTGATTTTGAAACTTATTACAAAGCTACAAGTCAAAACAGTGTGGTATTGGCATAAGGACAGACATATAGACCAAGGAAATAGAATTGAGAGTCCAGAATTAAACTCAAAATCTATGGCCAAGTGATTTTCAACAAGGGTGCCATGATCATTCAATGAGGAAAAAACTAAACTCTTCGACAAATGGTGGTAGGACAACTGGATATCTAATACAAAAGAATGGCGTTGGACTCCCTACCTCAGACCACATTAACAAATTAACTCAAAATGGATCAACGACCTAAATACAAGAAATCAAACCATAAAATTCTTGGAAGAAAATATAGGGGTAAATGATCATGACTTTGGATTTGGCAATGGATTTGTCTCAGATATGACAACAAAAGCATGATTGGTAAAAGAAAAAATAGACAAATTGGACTTTATCAAAATTAAAAACTATTGTACATCAAAGGACACTATCAAAAAAGTGGAAAGAGGGGCCAGCCCAGTGGCATAGTGGTTAAGTTCACGTGCTCCACTTCGGTGGCCCAGGGTCCATGGGTTCAGATCCTGGGTGCAGACCTACACACCACTCATCAAGCCATGCTGTGGTGGCATCCCACATACAAAACAGAGGAAGACTGGCACTGATGTTAGTTAGCTCAGCGACAACCCTCCTCAAGCAAAAAGAGGAAGATTGGCAACGGATGATAGCTCAGGGACAATAATCCTCACCAAAAAAAAAAAAAGTGGAGAGACAGCAATAGAATGGGAGAAAATATTTGCACATCACATATCTAATTAGGGTGTAGTATGCAAAATATATAAAGAACTCCTACAACTCAACAAGACAAGCCAATTCAAAAATGGGCAAAGAGCCCTTGTGCACTGTTGGTGGGATTATAAGATGGTGCAACTGCTATGGAAAACAGTATGGAGTTCCCTCAAAAATTAAAAATAGATCTACCATATGACCCAGGAATCCTTCTGGGTATATAACCAAAAGAACTGAAAGCAGGGTCTTGAAGAGATACATATGCACACCTATGTTCAGGGCAACATTATTCTCAATAGCTAAGAGGTAGAAGCAACCCAAATGTCCATCAACAGATGAATAGATAAACAAAATGTGGTATATAGCTACAATAAAATATAAGGAAGGAAATCCTGTCACATGCTACAACATGGATGACTCTTGAGGACATTATGCTAAGTGAAATGAACCAATCACAAAAAGACAAGTACTGTATGATTCCACTTATATGAAGTATCTGAAGTAGTCAAATTCGTAAAAACAGAAAGTAGAATGGTGGTTACTAGGGACTGAGAGAGGGAGAAAAAGGGGAGTTGTTGTTTAATGTGTATAGAGTTCCAGTTTGATAAGACGAAAAAGTTCTGGAGATCTGTTTCACAACAATGTGAATATACTTAACACTACTGAACTGTATACTTAAAAATGGTTAAGACAGTAAATTTTGTGGGTTTTTTTTTTTAAAGATTGGCACCTGAGCTAACAACTGTTGTCAATATATATATTTTTTCTGCTTTATCTTCCCCAAATCCCCCCTGGTACCTAGTTGTGTATTCTTAGTTGCAGGTCCTTCTAGTTGTGGCATGTGGGATGCCACCTCAACGTGGCCTGATGAGCGGTGCCATGTCCACGCTCAGGATCCGAACCGGCGAAACGCTGGGCCGCCGCGGCAGAGCACATGAACTTAACCACTTGGCCACGGGGCCGGCTCCAATTTTGTGGTTTTTACTGCAATAAAAAAAGGCATAAAAAAAGAAAATAAGAAGCCTGAGGAATTGTTCTCTTTGCCTCACAAAAGAGGTACCACTTCAATAAAAATAACTAGAGGTAAAAAAATAAGGGGGCAAATGACTTGAATAGATATTTCTCCAAAGAAGATATACAAATAGACAATAAGCACATGAAAAGATGGTAATATCATCAGTCATTAGGGAAATGCAAATCAAAACCACAATGAGGTACCACTTTACACTCACCAGGACAGCTATAATTTAAAAAAGAGAGAGAAAATAACAAGTGTTGACCAGGATGTGGAGAAACAGGAGCCCTAACACATTGCTGGTGGGAAAATAAAATGGTCCAGCTGCTGTGAAAAGTTTGGCAGTTCCTTCAGAAGTTAAACTCTGGATTCATATGACCCCCCCAGCAATTCCACTCCTAGGTATATACCCCAAAGAAGTGAAAACAAGTACTCAAACATACCAGCACTATTCACAACAGTAAAGTTGGAAAAAGCCCAAATGTCCATCAATGGATGAATGGATAAACAAATTGTAGTGTATACATACAGTGGAATATTACTCAATCATAAAAAGGAATGAAATATTGATACATGCTATGATGTGGATGAACTTCAAAAACATTGGAAGCCAGACGCAAAGGTCACATGTTGCCTAATTCCATTTTTATGAAATATAAAGAATAAGTAAATCCATAAAGACAGAACACAGATTGTGGTTGCCAGTGGCTCGCGAAAGGGCAGAATGGGGAGCAACTGCTTAATGGGTACTGGATTTCCTTTTGGGGTGATGAAAATGTTTTGGAAGTAGATAGTGGTGGTGGCCATACAACATTGTGAATGTACTAATTGCCACTGAATCGCTCGCTTAAAAATGATTAATTTTATGTTGTCAATTTCACCTCAACAATAAAAAAATAATATACACAGGTTTTAAATGCATCACTTCACCCATGTTCCATACATTACTATCAGATGATCAAAAAGGATTTAGCAGAATCTTTCAACTTTGAAGGCGAAGGAGGCCTAAACTCAAAACTTTGTGATACTAAAGTGGAAAATGGGATGTAAAAAGCTTGGAAAGTAAAAAATATTGTTTACTTGAAATGCAGGAGTTTTTTTCTTGAAGAAAAAATATGGAGTAAATACGTAATAGACACTAAATGTTCCTTCCTTCAGGGTACTGATGGAGAGTGTGTGCTTCAGAGTTAGATCACCTGCGTTCCCACTCTAGGCCTCCCAGGAATGTTCAGGAAGACTATCAAATGCACTGTATCTTTCTCACATTCTTCTGTCCTATTAGGAGCTGCATCACTGCTGATTGAAGACTTACTGTAATACATTCACTTATCCTCCCTCTGCTGGCTAGCTTCATACTACCACACTCTAAATGACTAATGCATACCAGAGCTGGGATTCTGATCATTTAGCAAATAATTAGTGAACAATTATTATACGCCATGCACCTTGCTGCATCCTGAGTATATCACAGTGAAGTTAAGACCTGAGCCTTGGCCTAATTTACCATCTAGTAGAGGAGACAGACCATAAACAAACCATTTATGTATCATGATTAAGTACTATACAGGAAAACAGTGCTATACTAGAGAAGAAGTGGAAAGACACTATTTTAAGTAGGGTCTGCAGGAAAGGCTTTTTTAGGAGAGACATCTAATCTGAAAGACCTGCCTGGCATTAACGAATGACAATAGCTGAGTTTGGGATTGTGGAAGGTTTCTGACGTCAGGGTAGAGTTTGGAAAGTACTTAACTGCAGTCGGAAGTAAGGGAGTGATACCATTTTGCGTTTTAAAAAGATCGTAGAGGCCAGAGAGAAAGCAGGGAGGCCATTCAGGAGGCACCGATGGTGGCCTGAACTTGGGGCAACTGTAGCCACTGTTTTGCACGACAGCGTAGCTGACGGTGCCATTACGTGATAGAACAAGGATGACTGCAGAGCGGTTAGAGGATAAGCGGATGATCGAGTATTTAAGGAAAAACAAGTCACGGGTTTCAGGGCGTCTTGCTGTGAACCGCCGGAACCAGGGCCGGACACGCTCCCTAACTGGACCTCTCCGGGCGGAGTACGAGGAGCAGGCGAGCCCGAGAGCTGAACTCCGGTCCTGCCCTCCTGCTTTGGTACCATCAGACGCAGAGTGTCAGGGACCGAGCTGAGTCTCCACGCTGGCCCAGAAGAACGCGGGAAGGACCACGCAGTGGAGTCTAACCTTTAGAACTAAACCTGTGCCGCCTCACGAAAGCTCCGCCACTAGCGTCGCTCAGTACTCGCCTGCCGCCTAGACCACCCGCGACCGCGATTAGCCCCACTCCCGGAAGTGCCGCCTACCCAAGTTCATTTCCGCTTCCCAGTCGTCTGCCCATCTCGCGAGAACTGGAAGAGCCTATGTGACCTGGGCTAATCGGAAGTCAGGCCTCTTTTTCGTGGCGCCTCGGAGGCGGTCGGGTGCTTCAGCATGAAGGTAGGAAGTAGTGGCTGATGTTGGACTAGGCTCGGGGACGGTGAATCGAGTCCGAGAACACGGCGTGGCCACGGTCGTGGCTCTCTAGAATCCTGGCTGTGGCTGGCGAAGCCTCTGAGGCAGGAGAAAGCTCGCTTGTCAGCGGCCGGAGCTCTTTGGGAGAGCGGATGGCGAGCGATTGCTGCTGGAGCTGCGCCGCCCGGCAGCGCCAGCCATGGTGGCGTCCTGGCGCCCCGCCGGGACCCACACGGCTCTGGTGCCCTGTTGGCGGCCGCTAGGTCGGGCTCTTTGCTCCGAGAGCGTGAACGGCTGCGGAGCTCCCTTCGCCCCCGGGGTCGTCCCGCGCGGCTTGAGGCAAGATGTGTCTTATTTTTGGGTGCGGTGCTCATTGCGCGTTATTCCGTACACGTGTGCTTTAGCGAGTAAAAGGGACATCTCGCATTTTCTGCCGATCGTGTGAGGGTGACATGAGAGGCTTTTTCAATGGGATTGTGTTTGTAGGTGGTTCTGCGCTTTTCATAATGCTCTTTTTTCCCCTGTTTAATCCTTAGCTGAACATCTCTTTCCCAGCCACTGGCTGCCAGAAGCTCATTGAAGTGGACGATGAACGCAAACTTCGTACATTTTATGAGAAGCGTATGGCCACAGAAGTTGCTGCTGACGCTCTGGGTGAAGAATGGAAGGTAAAGGTTGACTGACTGTCCAAGTGATTGGGTGAAACTCTTTGAGAGATGGCAAAAGCTATTGGGAATTGGCGTGTGTAATGGGGCTCCAGCTCCTGGGTCTGTTTTATGATCTTGGGTTAGTTACTTCCAAGTGTCACTTTATAAGGTTGAGCTATCACCTGGCAGGGTTACATAGGTCACGTGGGAAAATATACACGAAGGTGTTATCCTGCAAGCTGATGGTTTCCAGAGGATCTCTCTAAAAGTGCGAGGAAGGGTGGTTTTGATTTGTTGCTCGTTGATGCTTTGGTTTTTTAACATAATCTTTCTCTAGAGGTGACCTGTGGTAATGCATAGGCTACGCATGTGACTTGATTGAAAGGGACTTGCTAATTGGGTTTGGCAAATTGGAAGTGTAGACAGAACTTACTGAGCGGAGAGAACAGTTTAAGTTGTTTCAAATTGGTCTTAATAAACTACACTTCCTAGAACTGGGGTTCACCCTGCAGAGGCCACTCCTTTATTTTATATCGTGTCGTTGTGTTCTCCTGCAGGGCTACGTGGTCCGAATCAGTGGTGGGAACGACAAGCAAGGTTTCCCCATGAAGCAGGGTGTCTTGACCCACGGCCGTGTCCGCCTCCTGTTGAGTAAGGGGCATTCCTGTTACAGACCGAGGAGGACCGGAGAGAGAAAGCGCAAGTCTGTGCGCGGTTGCATTGTGGATGCCAACCTGAGTGTTCTCAACTTGGTCATTGTAAAAAAAGGTGAGGCTGGCTTGTGTTCTTGAGTTTGATTTTTTTTTTGTTGACGTGGATTTAAAGCTGATTGTCCAAATGCTTTTTTCATTCGGAGTATCCACAGTTTGACCCGTGGACTTTTGTTGGTTTTTTTTTTTAACCAATGCATAAACAATAATTTAGGGTTCTTGTTTGTAAGGAAGTTGTTGAAGTAAGAGGTCTTTGTTCACTTGTCTCCGTCAGGAGAGAAGGACATCCCTGGACTCACGGATACTACTGTGCCTCGCCGCCTGGGGCCCAAAAGAGCCAGCAGAATCCGCAAACTTTTCAATCTCTCTAAAGAAGATGATGTCCGCCAGTATGTCGTGAGGAAGCCCCTAAACAAAGAAGGTGGGGGAGATTCTGCAGTCTTGATTTCAGTAAATTAAGACTGGCTTAGTTTCAGTAATTTGTCACTAGCATTTTGGGTGCATATTAGAAGATGAAATCTCTGCCACTCTTGACCTGGAGCCTGAGTTTCAGGAAAATATTAGGGGAGAGGGTCAAGATAGGCAGTTGGTATTGATCCGTGTTATATCCAGTGCCCTCATGTTTTCCTTGAATATTTGCCTGTCCGTCATTATGTATAGGCCCACCGAAAGATAACTTCCCAGACATTAAGTTCATTGGTTTTGGATTAGGAGTTGAAAGAATGATAGAAAATTCTGGGACTGATTGTGCTCTCACTCCTACACACTCTTGCTTTTTCTTCCCGTATCAGAAGTTCTCAGTTTTTTGGTTTTTGTTTACAAGAGAAATACATGTTTTCATCAACTAAAGTGGCTTTAACTTCTGGCCCTTGTTTTCTTTATCTGGAGAATGTGGGTAGCAATAGTAAGTTTGAGAATTAGAAGTTAGAAAAATGTTTTATTCAAAATACTAGGGAACAGGTGTTTGGGATTTTGGAGTTGTATATTTTAAGCAGGTATATTTATTAGGCACTGTAACTCATCACCAGTGAAATCTTTGACAGCAGTGCTCTATAACATTGGTATTTCTGTGGTGAAATGTATGAATTTTTACATTAAAGCAAATAAATAGCGTGTCAGTTCAAGTTGGGTTTTCCTGACAAATCTGAAAAAATTTGACTCAGTTTTGGTTTTCTGGACTGGGGGCTTAAACCTGTGCCTAGAAAGTGCTACAAGGTGTCCGCAAATTAGACTGATGACATCTGAGAGAACTTCTCCACAGCAGGTCTATAATCCATAGGATTTTAGATTACAAATCATACAGGCTAAATGAAGATATTCTATGAATTTGCCACAGATTCTAATGTTAATGGTTTGGTTCCCCAGATTGGCAGGATCTGTCTTGGAAAATACAGATTCAAGCATAAATGGGACTTCAAAGCATGGTGTGATGGTGATGCAGATAATGCTTTACTTAGTGTCCACAAACAAGTTAAATATGCAATAGTGTTTTAAAATAATGCTCCTGTGTCTTACAGTACATGCATATGTAACACCCTACTAAGACAATCTAATTGTGGGAGGGGACTCGAAGTGAGTAGGAAAAGGCTTGGAGTATGACTAATTATTAAGCAAAGTAACCTAAATTTACATATGATCTTGAATTTGATATCCCAACTACTGGTGTGGTTTAATGAGCTGTCTGAATGAGGAGTAAATGTGCCAATTAGGAAAAACTTGGCACTTAGTGTAGTTAGCCTCTTCCTTATGTATTGACAATATTTAGCCCATCTTGGACTTTTTTTTAAAAAGATTTTATTTTTCCTTTTTCTCCCCAAAACCCCGTGGTACATAGTTGTATATTTTTAGTTGTGGGTCCTTCTAGTTGTGGCATGTGGGACGCCACCTCAGCATGGCCTGATGAGTGGTGCCATGTCCACACCCAGGATCTGAACCAGCGAAACACTGGGCCGTAAAGCGGAGCGTGCAAACCTTAACCACTTGGCTGCAGGGCTGGCCCCGTCTTGAATTATTGTTGACAAGGTAATATTTTAAGTTGCAGAATAGTTAAATCCAGATTTCATTTAAAAGGCTTCATAAAAGTATCAGTTTTCATAGGCACTGCTAACTCAATTAAGTTTGCATCTAAGTTTTAAAAATGTGGATCCTGATGAACAAGGGTGTTTTTGAGAAGTGATTGAGTCATTATCTGTTTTTTTTTTTCTTTTAGGTAAGAAACCTAGGACCAAAGCACCCAAGATTCAGCGTCTTGTTACTCCACGTGTCCTGCAACACAAACGTCGGCGTATTGCTCTGAAGAAACAGCGCACTAAGAAAAATAAGGAAGAGGCTGCAGAATATGCTAAACTTTTGGCCAAGAGAATGAAGGTAGGTCTAAGATGATTGGGGGGTGGGCATGGCTTTGGATTTGCATTTTTAATCCAGACAAGCTTTAATTGTGCTTTTTTGTTTTGTTTAGGAGGCCAAAGAAAAACGTCAGGAACAGATTGCCAAGAGACGGAGGCTGTCCTCTCTGAGAGCTTCTACCTCTAAGTCTGAGTCCAGTCAAAAATGAGATTTTCTAAGAGTAACAAATAAATAAGATCAGACATCAAATCTCCTTTGACTTTTCATTGATGATAAAACTTGGACAAATGAAGGGAGAGAAACTCAGATCAGAGAAAAGGGAGGTATTGTATCTAGCAATCTAATGGTGGATAAATAAAGTCTGCAAGAGATAACTGAAAGTGAAATCCTTCAAATTCAAGCTGAGACCATACTGTGGTAGTGGAAGAAATGGCCAGGACAGTGTTTCCTCTGGTGGGTGGCTCAGGAAAGGATTCTTAGCATAAGGCATTTATTGCCTATTTTTCTTTTCAGCAAGGCAGTGGAACGATCTAGGGGAAATAATAACTAGGACTATTATTAATCTTTACACACTTTATTTTGAAGAATACAGTTTTTAAAGATCTATACACAATACATGAAAAGTGCCCTGTGAAGATGGACATATGTAAAAAAGAACTCGTTAAAAGCGTAAGTAATGGATAGCATTTTAAAACAGTTCACAAAGCTTTTAAAACCAGTGCAAACATAGTGCATTAACAACAGAAAGCTTTTTGACTGAATTGTTAGTCATGCTTTTATTCTGTTGCACACTCTGAAAAGTTGAGGAACACTTGCATCATGAAGAATGCACAGAGAAAAGAGACTTTTAATGTACCATGTCATGTTTCTGTAGTAATTGCAGTTAGAACTAAGCTTCATAGACTAAAAGGGTCTTAAAAAGAAGGCACATTAGGCTTTAAGGGTGAGGAAAAGGAGCTCCTCATTTGTTGATAAATAACATTTTAACCACAGGTCAGTAGAATTTTTCAAACCGCTTTAACAGGTAGAGACTGAAGCAGTGCTTCACGATTGAAATGTGCATATGAATCACCTGGGGATCTGGCTAAAACACAGACTGATTCAGTAGTTTGGGGCCCCAGATTATATCACGAAGTTCCCAGTTGAAGCCAATGCCAGTCCCTCAACTGGACTGAGCAGCAAGATTCTTAAGACAACAGTAAGATCCCTATTGCTCTTAATAAATAGTATGAAAAAGTTACATAACATGGAAAGAAGTCTTAACTGGGAATTGACGGTAAATTGAACTTAAAAGGGAAAATGTAGCTTTTTAAAAAGATACCCAAAACTAAAGGACTGACATGCTACCGTTATAGCAGGTAACTTAAAGGACAAAAGGCAAGTCTGGTGTATACTCGAGAATTCTGTATTAACCAGAACCTGCTTGGTTCTAAGGCACAAAATCTGAGAATGACCCAGTTTTCTGATTTTAAGGAGTGGAGTCACTAAACAGATAACGGCTGGCCTAGACTGACAGCTCATGAATCTGGCAGATTTAAGATCGAGAACTTTTTAAAGGGGATGTTGGAGAATATTTCATTACAAAAATGTTCAATCCTCTATTTACTAGTGTGTACCAAAAATAAAAGGGCAACAATAGAATATCCCACGTTATAGGAGACTTAATTTATGCTCATTAGTTAACCATGCAGGTGGGTACAATCAACCTACAAAATGCACTGAAGTTTAATCAATCAGACTATCAGATCCAAAGCCAGCATTAAAGTAACAAAAAACTTTGAACTAATTTGAAAGATTGCTTTCAGAAATTATCAGGATTTAAGTTTCATACAGTGCTACAAGTCATTCTAGACATTTCTATATCTTTAATGCTTCCATATGTAGTTTTTTGTTTGGGGGGTGGTTTAGGTACTCTTTCTGTGGTAGGTGCTAGAAAAGGCCTTTAAGCAATTTTAACACAAATCAGCCCCAATTTCTAAATGACAGCAGGAGGCTAAGTTTTCCAATATATAACAGCTAAGTTATTTCAAATGTTACAAAAAGTTGTTAGAAAACATTTGATACAATATAGCCAAGTATTCTTAAATGTGTAAGGATGTCTTCATTAGACAGTTTGTTTTTCCAGGGGGAAGTGCTTTGGTAAGTAATTTAGTTCAAGTTAATGAAGACTACAGAGAAAAAATGGAAAAACAATGTTGGAATTCTAAAGATCACAAAGGTTCAAATTAATTGTACACATTGCAGGAGACTTAAAAATGTAACAGAGACAAGCACAGCAAACTTAATTTTTATTTAACCTCAATTTTTTATATGCAAGGCAATTCCAAACTTTCTGTTGGGACAATAAATGTTAAGTATTAAAACTAGTACCAAGTTTTAAGTTGCAAAAATATATACTCTGAGACAGTGCAAAAGATCCATTTTTAAGGTAATGAGAACTGTACATAATTTCTGACAAGTTTTTTCACTTAGTACTTTCACAATAAATTGCAGCTAGAATTCTGCATAGGTAGATTAACCCTGAAATGTTGAAAGACTAGTACAGCAACAATTTTTAATTTTTAAAGGATTATACCAGGTGGAAGGAAGATTTGTGCTGTTAACTATACCATCTGGAAATATTTTTTTTGTATCAACTGATTTAGTCATCTTCCTAATTACTGTAAAAGCACACACACAAGCATTGGCTTTTTAAACCATGCAGAGTTAAGGCAAACTTACTTTTCTTAAGGGATGTTTTTAACAAAAGGCATGATAAATGTTACAGTGAGGCATGTGAGGTCGTGATTTTCTTAAGCTTGGCAACAAGCTCAATAAGCTTTAAAATTTTAAGACTTAATTGATTCATCCTAAAAAACAGTATTTACAAATGCACAAATAATAAGCATACAAGTCTAAATATTACACAAGAATAACATTTCTGTGTGCAGTGCAAGTTATCCCACAGGTTTTTAAAAGTGACCAACAGCAACAATTTATGTCCCTAAACAATTTCAGGTCCAAAGACAATATACATGAGCATTTTAAGCATGTTCCAATTTTGTAAATTATGAAGCTGAGTTCATTTCATTTAAACTGATTGGCTCAATTATTCCAATTTTAAAGCTGTTGTAAATTAACATGGTATTGGGAAGAGGATGAAAGGAAGTAACTGGCTATTCAAGATAAAATCCATTAAGGAAGATAATACATGACATGAAGGGTGAAGATATATGTTCAATTTAAAGTCAGAGGCAAGGCAGTTGTCAACAGACTTTCAGGTAATTTTGAGATTAATGACTACAGATGAGTTTATTAGTAGTCATTTATTTAATAGTTGGAGACCCCTTTCAGAAAACTATTGCAACACGCAAAGAATTTTAATAAATATAATATGGCTGTTTATATACATACCTACACAGCCAGACACATATATACACACATAAACAAATAGTTGCTCTTATAATTTGAGATATTTCATTTGTTTTGGAGTCAGGCAAGTTTACATTAATTTGCCATTCCCCAAACCCAATAGCTTCAAATATAAACAAAATGCCAAGGATGAATGTGGTTTCTCATTATCGAATAACTACTAATATAGAGAAATCCAAAAGCAGTTTTCAGCAGAAGCAAATAAACAGTTCCGAAGTTGCAAATTTTCAACATCAATAAACCCTGGGGCATTTTAATGGTATTTTTATGTTGTGAGATGATTCAGTATGAATTACATTTCATTATATATTGTCCCAAGAGTTACTTCATTTCAGTTTTCACCAATTCTTAGCATTTGGAACAAACCGTGACTGCTTCCAGGTCGAATCTATCGCCCCAGCTTTGTGTCAAAAATCTCATGAATCTCTTATTCAAATGAGAGGTGCTCCAAAACACTTCCTGCACCATTCCATGCTGACACTTGGTGGAGCATCAATTTTCGGCAGCTTTTCAAGGATCTCTGATGGTAGGCTACTGTATGCAAGTCTATATTCATTGTCAAAAGCCTCTGAAAGACATGTTCAAAAATACAGTCGGTATTTGTTAATCAAGAAAGCAAAAGGCATGCATTTAAAAATAGTGGTCAAATCATATTTATATATTTACACTGCAAATTTAAATGTAAAAGTCTTTTTAAAGGCAAGTGGAGTATTTACCCATATCGGTTACAATTTTTTAAATTACTTTAGAAAATAAAACCAAGGACTTTTAGTAATCCTTAATCAACTTACCAATATCAATATTCTCTCTTCCAAGAGACACTAATGATAAGAACAGGATTTCTCTGTATAAACTCCTGTAAAACAAATATTTTTAAAGTTAAGGAGAAAAGAACATAAAAATACACACAAAGGTTTTCCAAAATGATGAAAAAAGTTTAAGTTCTGTAGTGTAGTTACAGTAATGTACCCATGTCAATGTCCTGGTTTTGATGTTCTACTACAGTTATATGAGATGTCACCTTTAGGGGAAGCTGGATGAAAGGTACAGTGAACCTTTTGTACTATTTTTGCAATTTCCTGCAAATTTCTATTTCAAATTAAAAAGTTGAAAGTTAATGGGCATAAAGCTTCACACTGTCTTATAATGAAAGATGGCTTATTTTGACTTCATTACAATTTTTTAACAATATAAGTAACTGATAACTGTTTTAACTCTAATTTCTAATCAAAATTTACAAAAGCAGAGTTTTCTCTCTTTTGCCTCATGACAAAGTAAGATTAATTTCTAAGTAAGTTAGGAGTCTAAAACCCCTGGACACAAACAATGTGAAAGATGGTTTGGTCTCTTTACTATTTAACCCAACAGCAAGACATAAATCACCTTTATTTGGTTTGTGAACATAAACATGTCACAAATAAAACCTTTAAAATGGCTCAGTTTTTAAAATGAGGGGAAAACTTAGGAAAGGAAATGATTTCTAAGTATTTACATAGAAGAAAAATGAGAGTAACACTGATTCTGATGATGCTCCATGTAGCTTTCTTTAGAAGCTGCAGAAGCCATAAAACATCATTTCTGATATTCCCCCCACCCTTAAACTACCGATGCTTGAAACCAGCTGCTCTTTGCGAAGGTCATCTCCACCTCAGCTGTTGAGATTCCAAGAGGATCCATTCATTTTCATGATCAATTCTTGCCCTATCACTTCTGAGATTATCTTCAAAGACGCCCTGACCAAAGAAACTTGAAGAGGACCTGGAAACACTGTTCATGTCCAACAGAATTTATGATGTTCCCCATTCTGAAGGTCCCACTGCAGAATTCACTTATGCCGA